TGAGAGAGCCTCTGCAGTTTGATAAATTTGCAGATCCTGTCCCAAAGAGCTCACATCTGAAATGCCAAGAGATAACAGGTGGCTGAAATAAGCAGGTGGGTGTTATAGGGCCAGAAATAAGATGTTTTTGCCCACACTTGCTGTGCTCGTAATTCCTAGCCAAACAGCAGCTATAATTATTAAACTGTATTATTCGTGCTAATTAATAACAGGCGCTCTATTCAGTATTTAGGATGAAACTATATATGGTATGTATTTTATATCATCCTGCTTTTTTCTCCCCCCCCCAGTCATTTTAATCTTCACAGTTCCTGTAATTTTGACATTTCCTTTGTGTTTAGCACGCTGAATAGCTCAGGATCATTTAGTTTGGTTACAGAGAGATGAATGCCATGTTGGTGTGTGTGCGCCTTCACTCTGCATCTATCATTATAGCATCCGAGTGCCTGTATAGTGCATATGTATTCTGTGAGACTGGAATATGCAGTAGTAGAAAAATAATTAAGGGCTCTGGCATGGTGGATAAGTCCTGTTCTCTAAACACTGCTCTGCAGGCCTTAAGTCGTAGATGGATAGCTGTTCAAGTCCGCCGGACGCCAGCGTTCCCCCAAGTAAGGGTTAGGGGGGACTCCCGAATTGGGCCCCTGTGCTCTTCCTCGTATTGTAATGCTTTTCCTCATTCATTCCTTTCATGCTTACGGGCATTTGCTCATTCACCCTTGTGGGAAAAGGACCCTTTTATTTCTCTATTTAAAAAAAAAAGGAAATTTAAGCATTTTTAAAAATTGTGTCTTTTTTTTTGTTTTGTTCTTTTTGGCTGAGAAAGGGCAGAGGCACATAAATTCTGCGCCTCCGGCTGGCAGCTCACAATTTAAAGCCTTGGGTCTTAGGGCGGGGTGTGTGTGTGTATGTATACATGTGTATATGTATGTGTATATGTAGATATATATAGATAAATAGATATATATGTGTGTGTGTGTGTGTGTGTGTGTGTGTGTGTGTGTGTGTGTGTGTATATATATAAAATATATTCCTTTCCTGATTCATCACTGAAATGATGTTTATGCTCTACAGAGGCCTGTGTTTTTCCATTCTGGGCTTAAGCCTGCTTTGTTTTTCTTCTCCCGCAGATGCGTTTAACGAAGGGGTGGTCGTTCCCATGCCAATTTTTTTTTTTTTTTTTTGCTTTGTTTTCCCCGATTCCCCCTGTCTGTTCACTCAGCCTTAGGCTCTTGTGCAAAGTGGGGCCACCAAGCCACTGGCAAGAGGAGGGTGCCGCATTTGTGCCACCGATCGCCAGTCCGTTTTGGGGTGGGAGTGGCGGGCGGGAGCTTGGTGGTGGTTGAAATGGCTTGCGTGGGAAGGAGGAATCGAAGGGAGGATGGGGGGGAGGGGGGCAAAGAAAATAAAAAGCCACAGGAAGACACTGGCTCTTTCAGGATTGTCATCGCGGCCGCGAGCGAAAGAGTTAACCCATTAGAAATTCA